CACGGGAAATTTCCCTAATTTTCCCTTCGAAAGTGAATCAAGGCTTAAGGGAATTCCAACTAGGCCCATCGACTTGTAAACTTGCTTAATTTTGGGTTGCCTTGCTAGTTGGATAGATTGACCTTGGGCTTAGAATTGCTCTTGAAACTTAAGCCCATTAGTAGTAGTCTTTACTGAAACACTCAAGTGAGGAAGGAGCAAAAATTTGTCCTTATTTTCTCCATTTAAAATTAACTTAAAGAAATGGAATATGGCTGTATGCGCTACACAAATATTTATGCCCCGAAAGATATTCATATAGTTCTCTCTCTCTCTCTCTCTCGATCGAGTAATGTAAATCTAGTAAGGAGGTAAAAAATTGTGTATACGCACTAAATAAATATTTATCACTCAACGACATTCTTATGACTCCAGTAAAAAATATATAAAACATGAATTATTAGTAGTTTTTTATTTACATTTATTAAATAAGTATTAAAAATTATTTGTTATGTATATTTTTTTAAACAGATATGATTTTAACTAGACAAAATGATAAAAAACTTACCTTCTCAGTAGACCGATCTATCAAAAAAAGTCCTTAATTAAATTAATTGTTGTTGTTATTACTATTATTGTTTATCTTTATCAATCGTTTATTTGTTTATTAATCTATATAAATCTAATTTTCTAATGTATTATTCTCAAGCAATTTAATAATAATAATAAACCCTAGTTTCTCTCCATTTGGTTCTTAAAAGTCACAATTTATACTTTTTTTAACACACAACTTTTTCAAGCACTATCTTGTCCCTTTAAATATTATTCAAGAGGGACAAGGGTCCTATACATGGGCTAAATCCCTTAATTATGACAAAAAATAAAAACACAATTGGTAAAAAGAATGACACTCCAACAAATTAGTAAGTAGGCGAAGGTAAAATGCCAAAATAACAGCTCGATGGCAAATTACTTTGAGGGCAAAAATGTTAAAAACCACCTTTTTATCACCCTTATTACGTTTAATATTTTTTTAGCAACCATAACCATTAAGCTTTTAAACTTATTGAAGTAAATTTTGAGTTTATAGTGATTTGAAAATGACAATGTTGTAATGATTAAATATAAGGATGTTCGTAGAATTTGTGAATCTGCTCAAGTTCGTCCAATCCAAACCAATCTGTTGAATTGAATTAATTGTGTGACATTTTAGATTGATATCATATTGAGAAAATTCAAATTTTAAAATTTAAGATTGATTTACATATTAGCATTTCACAATTCGTAATATGGTGAACCTGCATTATCTATGTATCATATATTAAATGTACAATTATATATATATATATATATATATATTATTTCGTTAAGTTTTTAGTAATGTGTATTTGTATATGTATAACATGTACAATTGTTTTTCCAATGTCGAATACAAACAATACCATGTGCTAACCCATTCTCTTTTGTTTTTGTTTTTTTTTATAGAACCCAACCCACTCTAGATCTTTAGAGGTTAGGGGCTTATTTATTTTACCGATTTAAATTTTCAGTTTTAGGTTTTTACAGTAAAAAGCTCTCAGAAAATGTCACATCTAATTTTTTCTGCTACAGTGAAAAATTATCAAAAAATGTCACATCTCAGCTCGAATTGAAAACTCGAATTTACGAAGTGAATAAGGTCTGGAATCATCATTCATAATTCAATTTTAAGCCCAATTCGTAGAATTTGTAGTATCCCATCCTGAAATTTAATAGTTTTTGATTGGATTGAAAGAAGTTTTAACAAAGTTTTTGATTGGATTGAATTGGGTTAAAAGAAGTTTTAACGATAGATGTGATTATATTTGCACCCATCAAGTCATTAATATTCCACCAAACCTTAATTTATATTTATTATAATTTTACCTTGCATTAAAATTACATTACAACCTATTAATATATCCTTACATTAATTATAAATAGAAATAATACTCTATTCAAAAATAAAAAATAAAGAAGTATACACTCACATTAACTATAATTAGAAAATATTTTTCAAAAGTAATAAATTGTCTAAAACATTTTTTTAACAAATATTCATCTTTCTCTAAACTAGTATAATCAAATATAATGTTTCTGGATGCCTACTTAGAGTGCTTCTAACAAAATATTTAGAACTCAAAGTAGTTCTTTTCCTTCTTCCTCTTAGTCCCAAAACCGAAAAAAATAAAAGGCAAAGAAAGAAATGCAACTTGTAACATCTTATGAAGAATGCACCATCAGAGAGTAGTAGACAAAATTAGTGTGATTCAAAAATTTTTTTTTTTCTGAAAGATTCAAAGAAGCTTTTTTTTGGGGGGAAGATTCAAAAACTTTTTTAAGTGTTTGGTAATTCATCTTGTTATTAGGATGGATTTTTGTATCATACTCTAATATTCACCTACAAAATTTTTGGTGAATTACAATAATTTTTAAAAAGAAAATACAATATTAATAGTTGAAAGGGATTGTATAATTTTATAAACAAAATCAAAACTAGAATTAGAGTAGGAGTATCAAAGGGTTAAATTTTGTATTATGTTTATAACATCTACAAAATGATAAACTTTTCAAACCTTTATTAAACAAACATTAATTACCGGGACATCTATAATTTTAAGAGTGTAAATAGAACTTCCTAATCCGATAGTTTTAAATTGGATTATGAATTGACCACTAATTCATGGAATCCAATTTGTGAACACACAATTAAAATATGAAGTCAATAAATCAATCAATAGTAATTAAGTGGTATAAAAAAAAATATTACACAATATCAAAGTTTATCTAAAAAGGGTAGGTCTATTTACACTATCTTTTTTACTCTCCACACCCCATTTTAAATACACACTCCATAAAATTTTAAAAGGTTTGAATTTACTTTCTACACATCTCTATTATTCCAAGACTACTCTTAGCCATTTTCATAAGATTATCAATTCTTTACGATTTTATTTTTCTTTTCACACCCACCATTTTATTTTAATTTATTGCTTTAACATTATCATTTCTCTCTCTCGCTCTTTAAAAATTTTGAGCATGATGCCTTTTTTCATACATAAAGAAAATTACAATTACTTTTAAAAAAAATAAAGGACGTAAATATGAGCAAAACATCAACATAATTATTATATATTAATTGAGATATTGATGAAAAAAGAAAAAATGAAAAAAATATATATATACGAATTTAAAAGAGTATAAGCAAGAGAGTATGAAACATAAACGAAAATCCTTAACTTTATATAAATAAATGAAATGAATTATCTTGAAAAACAAAATAAATAGTAAAATGAAAAACATAAACACTAACATAAAACGAAAAATAACAAAGACAAAAGAAAAATCGATATACTAAAAATAGCAAGGAACATTTAACATATCTCCCCACAACTTTTTAGAATAGTCATTAAAAGATAAAAATTAAGTTTATTATAGATTTTAAAATAACAATAATTTATCATTTGAGATATAATATGTTAGTGCGTTGAAAAATTATATAATTAGTTTTCTTTTATAACAAAGTTTAATCATGTAATTAAATCTATTATAATTATCTTTTTTTTACCAGAGGTTCTTTTTGTTATAAGAATTTTTAATTTAAAGGGAATGTAAAAAGTAAAAAAGAGCGGGTAAATAAAACTATTCAGCTAAAAAATATCATTCCACTAAAAATTATTATCGAGAAAAGTTCATATTGATACCATGTGTTTTAACATAATCATTTTTAGTACTTTCTATTTTTAATAATGTTGAATTTATACCCTAACAGTTTAAGAGATCGTTTTTAGTACCCTGGGTACTTTATTGAGATATAAAATGTCATTTCTAACTTTATACTTAATTGGTTAAGAATTTATTTTTTCTAAATGCATTAAAAAGCAAACAAAATATAAAGTTTTCTTAAAAAATGCAATTTAATTTGAATTTAAGTATTTTTACTCTGTTTAGGAAAAATAAATTCTTAAAAAATTAAGTATGTGTAGAAATAACATTTTATATTCTAAAAGGCAATTTCAGGGTATTAAAAAGCGATTTCTTCAAACGTCAAAGTATCAATTTAAAATTATAAAAAGTATAAGATACTAAAAAATGATTATGTTAAAAAGTAGGATATTAATATGAAATTTTCCCAAAATTATTTTACTAATAAAATATTAGACTTTTTTTTTTTTTTTTTGTAAAAATTAGAGCACATTTCCTTCTCTCTTTTTGTTGGGTTTTTAGCACAATTATCCTCAGAACTTGTAGTGCTTTAACAAATTGTCACTTATTTTTAATTTTGACAATCAACCATCTGAACTTGTAAATTTGTTGCATTGTGCTCAATTTTACTAAATTTGCTTAAATTGTGTTGTATTTGAATTGAAATGTTAAAATTTTTCGTTGAACGTGCTTTTTCTGACACTATTTTAACACAATTATCATTAAAATGAGACATATTACATTAACTTTACAAATTGAGGAAGTAACTTGTCTTAATTAAAAACTTAAGGGATAATTTACTAAACCACAAATAGTTTAGGGGGTAAATGTGCTAAAATTGTTTTTGTTTTCGTTTTTTGTTTTTGTTTTAAGAGAGAGTGGTTGTAGATAGACGCACTGATGGAAACACACAACCCACAGCCATCGATAGCCAACCGGCCGATAATCAAATCACACCACACGAATCAAATTTGGTATATCTGATGAAATTACCATTATCACCCTATAGCAGATATTTTTCCTCTGATTCATTCCCCACTCTAGTACCCAATGGCACCCTCGCAATTAGATCCAAAACTAAAACCCAAACATTAACCGAAATTCAAAATTCCAAAAACCCTAAACTGCTGTCAAATGTCAATTCCCAACCAATCAGGAGTGTACGGGCCCCACATGCTCTGCTGGCAAACCCCTTAACTTAATCACGGTAAACTAACCATGGTTTAAAACAAACCGTTTCACCCCTGTTTTTGAATCGTTTCTTTCGTGTATATATTGCCCCTGGATCTGAACCCCATTCCCTCACCTTACAGTTTCACAATCCAGAAGGCGTCTTGATAAACGCCGTTCTTTCTAGGGTTTCCGATCCTTTTCCTTTTCCCTTTCCTTTTCCCGTTCCTTTTGTATTTTCTCGAGAAAATGAGAGAGTGCATTTCGATTCACATCGGTCAGGCCGGTATTCAGGTCGGAAACGCCTGCTGGGAGCTCTACTGCCTCGAGCATGGCATTCAGGTACTTTCGTTTCCGTTTTCATTTTCTTTTCTTTTCTCTTTAGAAGTTGGAAGTGGCGGTTTTTGATCTGGGAATGTTTGGTATTTTTTGCAGCCTGATGGACAGATGCCGAGCGACAAGACGGTTGGCGGAGGAGACGATGCCTTCAACACGTTCTTCAGCGAGACCGGCGCCGGAAAACACGTCCCACGCGCCGTCTTCGTGGATCTGGAGCCCACCGTCATCGACGAGGTGAGGACAGGAGCCTACCGCCAGCTCTTCCATCCTGAGCAGCTCATCAGCGGCAAGGAAGACGCAGCCAACAACTTCGCCCGTGGCCATTATACTAGTAATTCTTCTTTCTCCGATTTCCGTTCAGATCTTCATCTTTTGATCTGATCTGACCTAATTTTGGATAAAATACCTAATTTTGCCTGTGTACCTATTTTATCATTGTCAGTTGGGAAGGAGATTGTTGACCTTTGCTTGGACCGGATCCGGAAATTGGCCGACAACTGCACTGGACTCCAAGGTTTCTTGGTCTTCAATGCGGTCGGTGGTGGTACCGGATCTGGACTCGGGTCGCTTCTTCTGGAGCGTCTTTCTGTGGACTACGGCAAGAAGTCGAAGCTCGGTTTCACAGTCTACCCCTCGCCTCAGGTTTCCACATCTGTGGTGGAGCCGTACAACAGCGTCCTCTCGACGCACTCCCTCCTGGAGCACACTGATGTCGCGGTGCTTCTCGACAATGAGGCCATCTACGACATCTGCCGCCGATCCCTCGACATCGAGCGCCCCACCTACACCAACCTCAACCGCCTCGTCTCTCAGGCAAGAATTGAAATTTGGATTAGAAACATAGAATTATAGTTTTTATTTTTTTCAATTTTTGATTTCCATTTAATCTGATGTTGTTGATTCTAATGTAAATTTGATTTTGGATATCCATATTTCCATTAACATTTATGTAAATTTGGATTTTGGCCTTCACAGGTGATCTCATCGCTCACCGCATCTTTGAGGTTCGATGGAGCCCTCAACGTTGATGTGACTGAATTCCAGACCAACTTGGTCCCTTACCCGAGGATCCACTTCATGCTTTCATCCTTTGCTCCTGTTATCTCAGCAGAGAAGGCGTACCACGAGCAACTCTCCGTGGCTGAGATCACCAACAGTGCATTTGAGCCATCGTCTATGATGGCCAAGTGCGACCCACGGCATGGCAAGTACATGGCCTGCTGCCTGATGTACCGAGGTGATGTTGTTCCCAAGGATGTCAACGCTGCTGTGGCTACAATCAAGACCAAGCGAACCATCCAGTTTGTCGACTGGTGCCCCACCGGATTCAAGTGTGGAATCAATTACCAGCCACCAACTGTTGTTCCCGGAGGCGACCTTGCCAAGGTGCAGAGGGCTGTGTGCATGATCTCCAACTCCACCAGTGTGGCCGAGGTGTTCTCCCGCATTGACCACAAATTCGATCTCATGTATGCCAAGCGTGCCTTTGTTCACTGGTACGTTGGTGAGGGTATGGAGGAAGGAGAGTTCTCTGAGGCACGTGAGGATCTGGCTGCTCTAGAGAAGGATTATGAGGAGGTGGGTGCCGAGTCTGCTGAGGGTGAGGATGGTGATGAAGGTGATGAATACTGATTGTTCTTCTGTTTGAGTGCTGTGTCTCGAGTTATGATGCTATGTGATCGAATCTGTATTTTCCTTTTCCGTACTTTAAATGTTTTTTGGTGTTAGTTTGTTATGCACTTGCTTTGTGCATCCCAGTATCAAAGTGATATGCATGTCTGCGTTATGTTGTTGTTCTTCTTTTAATTGAAATCTATTCGTATTTTGGTTATGTTTGTGTTCCCCACAGCTGGTATGCTGAGCTCTATCTTTTGCCAAAGTTACAATTCAAATTCATATATTAATAGTGTACGATTCAAATTCATTCTTCAAAAAAAGAAGCAATATTGTGTATGCTTTTATCACATGGTTTCACTATAATTTTTTCCAATAAACTCTTTCCCTTGAGGCTGTATGTTTGCACATATTTTCGAATCACATATATTCCCTGCGCCGAATGTTTTCAATCGCATGTGCTATGCCAACCCCGCCTGCTCAAGGAGCAAACGTAAAATACTTTTCCATATTTCTCAAAGGAAAATAAAGAAAGGAAATAGATGACATACTTCAAAATGAAAGCAGGGGTGTATGCATTTGCATATTTATTGCTTTTGTGGATCAAACATACCTAGTGCAATTGCACTGGTGACCATCATTGAGGCCATGATGAAGATAATCACAGATGTTCTTCCTGATCTATGGATCAGCTTTCCGACCATGGTTTGTCCTAAAATAGCAGAAATCGTGGACAACGCAGCAAAATAGAGAGCTACAAGAAGAACAAATTAATGAATTTTTGGATAATCTGATTCAATGAGTAAGCAATGCTAGCTAGCTTTATTTATCTTTTCATGAGTAGTAGTTTCGATGGACAAGGAAATTGCCATAGGGAACTGGAAATTGTTTTAGAAGGTAGTATTCCGCGACGGACAGACGTGGATGAAGAAAATGTCATGATAAGGATGGTTGTGGCACTTGACACCTACACGAAAATTATCATTTGAAGTTGATCAAGTACATCTTTTAAGCAGTATGTACTAAGAAAAGAGGCCACTTTCTTAAGAACGTTATGGTTTGATCCCGTTTTTTTCTAGAATTATACAAGGCACAATAATTCTATTTATCGCGAGTTAACATGGGGACAACCTAGATTTGAATTTGTTCAAGTTAGTGATATTGTGTACATTCAAAATGTCGTTGCAAAAGTCTGCAACGTTATACCTCAGGAGGGATTCCGAGGTCAAGAAAAAGAGGACCCAGTATCACTCCGCCACCAACACCAAGCAATCCACTTAGGGTTCTAGCCAGTATGCCTAAGGCACAATAAGCAATTAATCTATTGACTCGGTAGTTTGTGACTCCTCCTTTGGATGCAATCACTCTCTGTCCTTTAAACGAGCTAACTGCTTCATAAAAAAGTTACTCTGATCGTCATTGGAACCTGAAAGACGGGATATTGTGTTCGATAAAGAAAGCTTGTGGTTCCAAATTATTGCAAATTAGCTAAAGCAGAAAAGAGAATCCAGAAGAGCATTCTATTTTTAGAAAAAAAAAAAAAGAAAGACAATTGTTTTCCTAGTATGCTGGCAAGGAAGGACCTGTGAGAAATTTAGAAGCCAATATAGCATTGAACAAGTTGCCATGTGACTCTGTCCCCAGGTATAAGTCCTATCAGTTCCAATCCTTAACACATAAAAGCGTAAAAGAAATTCCAAATTGTATGTAAATTGGCAAGAAATTAAGCCTCATTAAACCTTAGCAATTTGCAAGATTAGCATTAGCATCCAACGAGCAATAAGAAGTCCAAGTTCCTTCCAATAAACATTCTTAAAGACAGAAACCTGTGATATAAAGTTTAACAAGTCAATTGCTCAGACCATAAAAGTGAAATTCTTCATCTGGGAAGACCATTACCTTTGTTCTTTTAGGCCCCATAAACTCTTACTGGATTGCTATTCTTGGTTTCAACCTCTTTTTCATTATTATCATGGATTAGCTTAAACAAGATTTTGGATCCAAATCTGAATAGTTCTAGAAACTTTACCAGCAAGCAACTCGCAGCATGATTGGATTCGGCTAATCGTCTCCTGAAATTTTGAAAACTAGTTAAGAAAAGATCAACATAAAGAAAAAACAACAACAACAACTAAGAAAAACAAGTACTATAGTACCACCTTTTTTTATTATTGTTTCCTTATTCCATGTTTCAATGCCTTTGAGAAATGATTTAACTGTTGTTGCTGTAGATAATTCAGCAGAAGATCAAGTTAGTTGATCAATATGATGAAATAAGGGAATGTTGAAAAAGCTGATGACATTTCTTGTTACCTAGAAAGACAATGACTAGCAATATAAGGATCATGTCTGCAAAATTTCATTATTTTTTGCCGTCGTTTTTATTTTATTATATTTTTTAAAGATGAAAAATAAAGAAAATCATAAAAAATAGAATATTCATCAAAACATGGCACCACTTGTTGCATTAATTCTTAAACTCATATATTAATTTTAGAATGTAAAACATAAATAAAAATGTAAATTTTTTATCCATCCCGGCACCTGAGCTGGCCCCTAGGAGCCCCACTACGCGTACCGGGGGCTTTTTGATAGCGTTTTACTTTCTTATCATTTTTTGAGGCCATTTTTTTCAGAAATGCCTAGAAAAATGTAATGATCGTGTCTGTAAAATTTCATTATTTTTTAACGTCGTTTTTATTTTATTATATTTTTTAGAGACTAAAAATAAAGAAAATCATAAAAAATAGAATATCCATCAACAAATGGTGCCGTTTGTTGCATTAATTCCTAAAAATAATATATTAATTTTAGAATGTAAACGATGAATAAAAATGTAAATTTTTAAACCATCCCGGCCCCTGAGTTGGCCCCTGGGCGAGCCCCTACGCGGGCCGGGGGCTTTTTGACAACGTTTTACTTTTTTCTCATTTTTTAGGCCATTTTTTTCTGGCATGTCTAGAAAAATGTAAGGATCGTTTCTGCAAAAGTTCATTATTTTTTGACGTCATTTTTATTTTATTATATTTTTAAAGACGAAAAATAAAGAAAATCATAAAATATAGAATATTCATAAAAAAATAGTGCTGTTTGTTGCATTAATTTCTAAAAATCATATATTAATTTTGGAATGCAAAACATAAATAACAATGTAAATTTTTGACCCATCCCGGCCCCTGACCTGGCCCTAGGGCGCCCTGCTACCCGGGCCAGGAGCTTTTTGACAGCGTTGTACTTTTTTTGTCATTTTTTGAGGCCATTTTTTTCCGGCATGCCTAGAAAAATGTAAGGATCGTGTCTCCAAAATTTCATTATTTTTTGTCGTCGTTTTTATTTTATTATACTTTTTAAAGACAAAAATAAAGAAAATCATAAAAAGTATAATATTCATCAAAAAATGGTGTCGCTTATTGCATTAGTTTCTAAAAATCATATATTAATTTTAGAATGCAAAACATAAATAAAAATGTAAATATTTGACCCATCCCAGCCCTTGAGCTAGCCCTTAGGCGCCCCACTACGCAGGCCGGGGGCTTTTTGACATCGTTTTACTTTTTTTTTGTCATTTTTTGAGTCTATTTTTTCTGGGACCTAGAAAAATGTAAGGATAGTGTATGCAAAATTTCATTATTTTTTGACGTCGTTTTTATTTTATTATACTTTTTAAAGAAAAAAATAAAGAAAATCGTAAAAAATAGAATATTCATCAAAAAATGGTGCCTCTTATTGCATTCATTTCTAAAAATCATATATTAATTTTAGAATGCAAAATACAAATAAAAATGTAAATTTTTTACCAATCCCGTCCCCTGAGTTGGCCCCCCTGGGTGACCCACTACGCGGGTTGGGGGCTTTTTGACAGCGTTTTACTTTTTGTCATTTTTTGTGGCCATATTTTTCTGGCATGCCTAGAAAAATGTAAGGATCGTTTCTTCAAAAGTTCATTTTTTTGACGTCGTTTTTATTTTATTACATTTTTTAAAGACGAAAAATAAAGAAAATCATAAAAAAATACAATATTCATCAAAAAATGGTGCCGCTTGTTGCATTAATTCTTAAAAATCATATATTAATTTTAGAATGCAAAACATACATAAAAATATAAATTTTTGACCCATCCCGGCCCCTGAGCTAGCCCCTGGGTGCCCCACTACGCGGGCCAGGGGTTTTTTGACAGCGTTTTTCTTTTTTTTTTTGTCATTTTTTTAGCCCATTTTTTTCTAGCATGCCTAGAAAAATGTAAGGATCTTGTCTGCAAACTTTCATTATTTTTGACGTCGTTTTTATTTTATTATACTTTTTAAAGACAATATAAAAGAAATCATAAAAAATAGAATATTCATCAAAAAATGGCGCCGCATATTGCTTTAATTTCTAAAACTCATATATTAATTTTACATTGCAAAGCATAAATAAAAATGTAAATTTTTGACTCATCTCGGCAACTGAGCTGGCCCTTAGGCGCCCCACTACACGGGCCGAGGGCTTTTTGACAACGTTTTACTTTTTTGTCATTTTTAAGGCTTCTTTTTCTGCCGTGCCTAGAAAAATGTAAGGATCGTGTACGCAAAATTTCATTATTTTTTGACGTCGTTTTTATTTTATTATATTTTTTTAAAAATGAAAAATAAAGAAAATCATAAAAAAATATAACATTCCTAAAAAAATGGTGCCGGTTATTGCATTCATTTCTAAAAATCATATATTAATTTTAGAATGCAAAACATAAGTAAAAATGTAAATTTTTAACCCATCCTGGCCCATGAACTGGCCCCTAAGTGCCCCACTACGCGGGCCGGAGGCTTTTTGACAGCGTTTTACTTTTTTTGTCATTTTTATGGCCATTTTTTTCTGGCATGTCTAGAAAAATATAAGTATCATTTCTGCAAAAGTTTGTTACTTTTTGACGTCGTTTTTATTTTATTATATTTTTTTAAGACGAAAAAGAAAGAAAATCATAAAAAATAGAATATTCATAAAAAAATAGTGCCGCTTGTTGCATTAATTCCTAAAAAGCATATATTAATTTTAGAGTGCAAAACATGAATAAAAATGTAACTTTTTACCCATCCCGGCCCTCGGCTAGCCCCTGGGTCCCACTACGCGGCCAAGGGGTTTTTTGACAACGTTTTCCTTTTTTTGTCATTCTTTAAGGCCATTTGTTTCTGGCATGACTAGAAAAATGTAATGATCGTGTCTGCAAACTTTCATCATTTT